CTGTACCTAAACACTAAAGTTACATTCTTAATACTTCACATCATTTTATGCATTTTCCAAAAAAATTTTTGTTAGTGTATGTTTGCAGTACTCTAATGATTACATTCCTTGTGGGGAACTGGTCCATGTATATATTACGTCTTAATTCTTTTTCCCCTTCTGTCTCATTTTTTTCCCTTCATCATCTTGATCCCTTTCCCATTTAAGAAAGATCTGTCTACTTATTATCTTTTATTTTGCTTTTTATTTATATTTTTGGTAGCTCTTATTTAAAAAAGTATGCTATTTAAGCTTATGTTTTATTTATTTCACTTAATGTTATAGTCTCAAGGTGCATCCATTTTTCTACAAATGACTCATGGTTACCCTTTATGGCAGAGCAGTAGTCCATTATATGTAAATACCACATCATCTGTGTCCATTCATCTGTTAATGGTCATATGAGCTGCTTCCAATATTAGGCTATTGTGAACTGTGCTGCTATAAACACGAGTGTGTATGTGTCACCGTAAAATGATGTTTATAATTCTTTTGGGAAGATACCTAGAAGCAGAACAGCTGGATTGAATGCAGTTTGCTTTTTAAAAACAAGGTTTATTTATTTTTTTCCTCCCATCATTTTATTAGAAAAACATACAGAAAAGTTAAAAGGACTTGTACAGTGTTTAGGTAGGGACATACACCCACCATCTAGTTTCTGTAGTTCTCATGACACAGCATTTCCTTTATTACCTTTTTTTAAAGCAGGGACTTTTCAACAGAGTCCACAGATGTGCTTCAGAGGCTCTGTAAGCCCCTGGCATTAGAGTAAAAATTATACTTGTTCATACTGGCCTTTTTCTAGGGAAGGAGTTGGTAGCATTTACCAGCTTCCCAAAGAAGTAAAGAGGTCTTTTTTTTTTTTTTTTTTTGTACCGGGGATTGAACTCACGACCTAGTGCTTGCCAGGCAGGCACTTGTGCCGCTGAGCTAAATCCCTGGCCAAAGAGGTCCAATTTTTATTTAAAAAAAAACAAAGCTGAACCACAGTGGAACCTTGTGACAACAAAATGCCTGCCTCTGGGCCTCAAAATTTTGCAAACAGCAGTGTGTCTGGCTCTGCTGACATGAGATCTACATTATTTTCCTGGGTGACAATCACAGTCACACCCAGTCAAGGTGAATTGTAAAGCTAACTTTGTTTGCTTCTTGGAGGAGCACATTGCCGCTTTGAGTCCAGAGTGCAGGTTTGCCACTTCCATAGAGATACAGCATAGCATTGTGGCAAAGAGCCCAGATTCAGGCTTAAAGCCATACATCCACCAATTACCAGTTGTGTGACCTTGGAAGGCCATTTAATTTCTGTGTCTCATCAGTATAATGGGAATACTAAGGTTATTACCAAGATTACTGAGGTTGAGGTGCTCATTAGCATTGCCTGGCACATAGTGTCTGCTCCTTCAACTTTAGGATATTATTATCCTGTTCCTTTATACAGATAGTGTCTTCAGGGTGTGGAGTAGGCAGAAATCTTCTAGAATTCTGCTGTGGATTTACAGTGAAGCAAAACCACTTTCAGGTTTGTAGCGTGAAGGCCGTATAAGCAGTTGCTCCCTACCTCACTTGCTGTGCCACTCTGTACTCTGCACATTGAGCCCTTTCTGCTTCTGAGAGGGGGCACTAAGAGGTAAACAAAGACCTGCTGGTGCCAAGGCACAGAGGTCAGTGTATGGGATGTGATCAAAAAAATACAATGGATGTTTAATTTTTTTAAAAAAACTGTTATAGTAGAAAATGTATCATCACTAACATATTCCTGCTGGCTTGAACCACTCATGGTTCGTATGTTCCATTGGGCAGCATGGGACATTCCCACTGGGTGGTATAGGGGATAAGCAGGCAGGTTGGGAGGAGACAAAGGAACACTGTATAATCAGCTTTTCATATCAGCAGAATGCTTTTAGTCTGGTAGTTATTCTTAGTTGATAGACTGTGTTGGGGAATGCAATCTACAAGGTTTGGTTGAGAGGTAGCCTTGGACTAAATTGCATAACATAGTGATCTTCCTGAGAATTAGCAAGTTAACTAATCTACCATAATATAGTTAGTATATTTCTATTTGTCATATGAATGAAATAACTCTTTTTATTTTGCCTCTCTGTTAAAGGGAAAGAAGGGAAATCTTAACTCTATAGTCAGTGAACTGTCACCAGTTAAAAGATCCCTACTGCTCTGATTCTGTCTTGTTTTGGTTTTCAACAGCCAAGCAGGTTGAGTATCTGATCAACGAAAAGCATATCTATCTTCTGCCAAGTGGTCGGATCAACATGTGTGGTTTAACCACCAAAAATCTAGATTATGTGGCTACCTCCATCCATGAGGCAGTCACCAAAGTCCAGTGAAGCAGCAGCATCCAGTCTACACCACCAAAGTGTTCAGTGTCACATGTGTCCCTGCCTGCACAGACCTAGTGGTACATATCATGGATTAGAGTCCACTGGAGGACTACCCAATCTGCTTTGGGAACTGGCCTCTGTTTCAGCTGGTCCATGTGAAGAGAACATCCTTAAAAAGAATTGGGAGCCAGGGATTGGAGAATTTTGGAGGCCAGACAAATTAAGGTTTTTATTTAAGAATAAAGAACGTTTGATCACACGACATAGATTCCTTGCTAGAAGCAGGAGTGCTGCCCATGTTGCTCATGGATTTTGCATGTTGCTTGACTCTACCAAGTCTAGTCCAAAGGCCAAGTTATCTGAAGGAACCATTGTGACTGTTGGTGTTGACTGTGGCATTAAACTCATCATTTACACCTTGTCTCCTGTTCTTTCTGCATGGTTTTGTCCTTTGTCTGAAATTTTAATTCTTTGGGGTGACTGCAATAAGAAGTATTTACATCATGATGCACACAGGCATATTTACTTATTTAACTGGAACAAAAGTTTCATAAAATAGTATTTTCTCTTGCAATGTGTAGTACAGTCTTGTATTTCCTAGTATATTCTATTCTGTTTTGTTCTCTTTCACTAAATAAAATAAAATGCTGAACAAGACCCATTTTGTGATCTGTTAATGAGTTGTGACCCACAATTTAAAATGAAGAAAAAAGGCTTTAAAGGTATTTACTAGTGACTGAAAGAAGAACTAATGTACTTTCTCAGAATACAACTTCCTTTGGTGAAATAACCGTTGTCATCAGTCTGTGTCCATTTTCTGGGGTGGTCATTCTGAGACCAACAGTCTTACAAAACTTAAGAAACCAGCCGCATGGACTCATAGGAGGGACATCACTGGGGATTCAAACTACCAGCCCCTCCCGTTGTGTTTAGAGCACCTCCTAGTCTGTTGGAACAGTTATGGCCATTTAAATATAGATCACAGTTTGCAGTGTCAAGGGCAGTTTTGTAGTTCGGCAGCATGATTTGATGAGGTTGGGTTTTACTTGAGAGTGTCATTATTAGAGATTTTTTAAACATATAAAAGTTAATTTTTTATATTTTAATAGGATCTGCTCCATCGTAGGAGTCCTTTGGGTTATAACAGCACACATTTTAAAGTACAATTGAGGTCTTAGAAGTCACCAAGTGTAGCCTCTCTGATGAAACAGTGTCTTCCATATTGTCTCTGACTCAGCACTTTCAATGGTATGGCGGTAATGGCCCTTTAGATAATGAGGCATCCTGTGAGCCTTTGTTAAGGTCTTTTACTTTGAGCTGGAATTTATTCTACATTGGTCTTACTCTTTTAGACCCCCTTACTTCCACAGTCAGCCAGTAGGTCTCCTGGCATTTGTAATGGGCCTTTCGGATATAAAGAAGCAACAGTGAGTATTCCTGGTTTACAATTTCCCAGGTGGATCCATTCTGTCATTTAGTGTTTCGGCACAGCATAAGGTTTCCAGATTTTTCGACCATTGTACTGGCACTGTTAGTATATGACTGGACTGGGTAGGGTGGATGGATTGAAAGTGATCTGATGTTTTCTTGCCTTCTGTTCTTATTTCTGGTTCATCGACATTTGTTCTTCCAGCGTAAAGATGCTTGTCATTAGTAAGGGCAGGCAGTCAAGACAGAAGTTGAATGAGTCACCTTCTGTTAGTCTTCTATCATTTTCCCTAAACCACTGTTCTCCAGGAGGATGCCTGTCCTCCTCCTCAGGACCAAAACCAGGTTCTTGGGAAGCAAAATAGTTTATTAAAATTATTTTTGGCCCTTTAAACTTAAGTACTACCCAACAAATTCTTAGTTTTAAATTTCTTTTGTTATGGAGAATTTAATCTTTCTCTAGGGAAGTGTTAAAATAATTAAAAATCAAGAAACACTGCTTTAAACCTAACTGCCATGCCAAAGTGCTTTTTTCCTTTGTACGGAGGATCAAACTCATGACTATATGGTTGGCGCTTATGCCACTGAACTAAATCCCCAGCCCACTTTTTTAAAAACCCCAATATCAATGGAAATTTGGCCTCTTTAACTCCATTCTTACATGTTTTTGGTTAGCGTGATGCTCTGCTGTGTCTAGGGCTCTGTGTAAGTTTGGGGAAAAGTATAAGACTTCCACCATTGACCTGTGCCACCTACGCACAGTGGATCTAAGAGGTAGGACTGCATGTTCTGCCTGTTCAGGAAAAAGACACTCAACCTCCAGGCTCTGCCAGGTCTTGGCTGACCAACCCTGAGTAAGTCACCTAACATTTTAGATAGTAACACCTCACTGTCGTGTTCAGCAAATCACCAGCCCTGCTCATTATCCTTAGTGTTGCTCCCTTACTTCTATTTGCAGTCTGGCTTTCTGTCTGGGTTTTATTTCCAACTTCTGGCATTCACTCCTGCAAAGTCTGATTCATCTGGCCTCCTAAAGTAGCATGCCAGAGCTTTCCTCTAGGCCTCCTCACCTCACACCTGCTGTGAGACGTTTGCCTTTTCAGGCAGGAGAGCCATAGGTGACAGCTACTTTTGTGCACCACCCAACATGTATCTTAGATGAAACTCCCAGTTCCTGGAACAAGGAAAACAGCCACATTCCAGTAAAAGCATTTTCATTTTATTTAAAAATTATTTACAATTGACCCTTCATAAATGCTTTATTGTAAAATCCATTTTTTTAAACCTGAAGAAACTCTGTGGGTAGGGAGCTAGGGAGAGGAGTGGTGACGAGCTCCTTAGAGGTTCTGCACGGAGGTGAATGTAATGCAAGAGTAGTGGTCCGTGCCTGGTGGTCTATAGGATAAGGAGAGGGAACCTCGTCAGGCAGCTCTTCTGGCTCAGTGGCCAGCTAGGCTGGGAGACTGCAGGATGACAATTCTAGTTCACCATTTACTGGTCTGGGTCCAAGATGCCCAGCACTGAGGGCTGACACTGTTCCTGTCAGGCAAGAGTAGGTGAGGGGTGGGTAGCAGGAGGGTTATCTACAAGAACACATGCATGGCTGAGCCTCAGGCCAGGTCAGGCAAGGGATGTCTCAAAGTCAGTAATGTATTACCGAAAAAGACATCTCTAGCTCCAAGTTTTTACTCACACATGCTGTGGCCCTCCTGTCTGCAATACCTGCTCTGGTTTGGTGGGGCAGAGAACCAAAATTTTGTGGTGCATCGGATGTACAATATCAAGGGTGTGCCAAGAATTTCTGAGGACTCCTGCTTCTTATTGGGTCCTGCTTCCCCAATTACTGACACACTTGAGAAGACCACTTACAATTCAAAATCTGTCTCATAATGACTAGTATCCACTTCATCTTGCATTGCAGAAACATTGGATAAAAAGTTCCATTAATGAAAATAGTGGTTATTTTAACCCTTTTTGGGTCTGAGAACCTTGACAATCTTAGGAAAGCTTCAGCTCTGGAAAACACACTAAAAACATACATATTAAATTCAGGCAATTTTAAGGGTTTCATAGATCCTCTGAAGCCCAATTATGGACCTTCTGGGGTAACAGACCCCAAGGTAAGAACCCCTGAGTTAAAGGTTCCTGTGGGTAAGCATTTTCCTTTGAGATGCAAATAATCCAGAGGAATTGTCGAGTTTTCCCCTGTCCCACATGGTTAACTGAGTAGGTGAGGGGAGGGAATTATCCTTTTCAAGGAAGGGGAGGGAAGCCTGCATCGTAAACCACAGGGAGAAGTTTGGAAATGATTTGAGGATTCATCTGGCACCACTGGATCACTTGATACCACTCAAATAGCGAGAGACATATCAGAAAGGCATGCAGGCTTTCCAAAGGCAAACTGCACTTTTCAAGTTTTCCCTAAAGTTTGCTATGGTTCCTGATCAGAACTCTGAATAATTCTTCAAAGTAGGTACTGCAGTTTATGTACTGTACTGTGCTATATGTGCAGTCATTCTGCCATCTTGTGGTAATTCTCATAATTGCACTTGGCCCAACATGCAGGAGAAAAACCACAGATCCAGTTCAAATTGTGGGACTAAAGTATACTTCGCTGACCTGCTGGGGTGTAGTCAGTCAGAGGGCAGGGAAAAAGTGAAAAATAATGGTGATTCTTCAACATTGCTGTGTAACACACACTGAAGTCCTCATGTATCCTTCTTGGCAGACCTGGGCACTCTTTGGTTTGTCATGGCTAAACTCACTTTCACAGCTTAAAAATTTTCCACTTAAGGTTTTTATTATTATTATATTTTCTTTGATATGCACTTAAAACATGAAAGTTCCATCTTTGGCTCCCACATGGGTCTCTGTTCCCTGCTCCTCTTCCAGAGCGGATTATAGATTGGGAGCCAAAACAGACGCATCCCTGGGAAAAACACTGAGTCAAGGTTCCATATCACATTCTTTTCATTCCAGCTGAGGCATACTTCCCCAGGCTGCTGAAACCCTTATCTCACAGGAAACCAGTCACTGACAGTTTTCTGTGCTGCAACATCAATCACAGACCAATGCAGCTGAGTCCCATGATCCAAAGTTCTGGAGGAATTCTTGGTCCATCCAAATCAATCTTTATACCTGCTACTCCAGCCTGCTATGTGGCCATATGCCAGCGCCACCTTCTGAACTAAGCTAAGCATGAAATATGGTACAAAGTTGTAACTTTTATCTGGAGGAAAGCATGAATTCCAGGACATGAGTCTCCTGTAACATTGGGATCCCAAAGAACAGAGAACAAAAGGGTCTCAGAGTGGTATTGTCAGCTTGGGGTTATTTCTTTTCTGGTTTCAGACTGTGCTATAGACAAGGCCATTTCTAGCATTTCCATTAGAGGCACCTTCTGTTATGGCCACGGCAAGGTTCCGAGTCAAACTGGAGGCAAGGAGGGAAAAATCTGCCAAACTGACAGCTAGGGGTGAAAAGGTGGAACGGAAGGAAGGCAGAATGCTCTGTCACCGAGGGAGGCCTTGGGGTCAAGCAGATGAAGAAAGAGCAGATCTCCCCCAAAGCCCTGGATCTTACACACTCGTGAAGGCTGTCTTTGCCTGTCATGTGATCAGAGGTGTTAAGTTGGAGTTTTCCTCAGAGGTTCTCTCTCCCTCTGCTGATCTCTTCCTTTTTCGACCACCTACAAAACACGGTTTGTAAGTATCAATCTGTAGGACTGGAAGGCTATTCATACCCTCTTAGTAGTCTGAGTTTTCTTCAAAAAAAAGCAGAAATGGAGACAAAGCCCTTGGAAGCTTGACTGGAATGCATATGCATTGTATCCTGGTACTGGATAGTTAACATCTGGAAGGAGTAGGATGCATGTTCTGCACAATGTGACATTTCTGAAAGGCACAATGTAGGCTAGTGCCTGCCATAAAGACTTCCTAGAGGGGACTGAATAAAACGCTGTCATGCTTTAGGATTATGCCTACCCTCTCCTGATGGTCCCAGCCTTACTCAATGCAAGATACTGTCTGAGGAGGACTGATCAGCAGTCATTGATGTCACAGGAGCCAGAGTCAGGGAGCCACTCCCAGGGATTCCATCTCTGAAATAATCTCCCTCTTCATTGAGGCAGGTGGGGGTAATTACATAATAGTCCTCAAGGATGGAAGATCCATTTGTCCCCATCTGTGTTGTTAAGAAGGCATATTTTCACCTTATTCTCTGCCACTGCCTTCCATCCATGGAGGATACTGCTTTCCTTTATCCCATCCAAATTCTAACCAGGCCTGAACCTGCTCAGCTTCCGAGATCCAACGAGATCAGGTGCATGCAGGGTGGTATAGGTGTAGATGCTTTCTTTTCTACGAAGTCTCCTGGACATATTTTTTTTTTTAATTTTTAAAAGATGATAGTAGTCTTACAGATCATATGGGCTCTGTCACAACTACTTGACCTTGACTTTGTGCTCACAGATAACAAATGAGACTATGTATAATCCAGTAAGTCTTTATATAAAGTAGGTGGAGGAATGAAGTCATAATTTAGCCCATGAGCATGATCTGCAGACTCCTGTCCTAGAGAACAAAATGAGTTGGAAAGGTCCTCACAGTATTAGGGCACAGCATTGGCCCAAGATTTGCTGTGTATTTACACCACTATACCTCATTAGCATTCCCAAAAGGAGTTAGTGGCTCCTGTTCTAGGAGAAAGATCCTAACGTGCTTTCCCTGCTAACCATCAGGATGATTTACATCTGGGTGAGGAGCTACTCACTCAAAGTTCTCAGCAGCTTCTTGCCCATGGTTTCCTCAATGTCACTGCTGCAAGGACTGGTCTCTGTGTCCAGGATGATATTAAAACATTCATTACCTGATGCTGAGAAAAAGGAGAATTACCTTAAGTCTTTTCAACTTTCATGTTTAGGGCTGAATGCAGGGTATTCTGGGTGATGTCTTTGGCAGGTGAAAGTTTAAGGCCAAGAGCCAAAACAGTGTGAGTGTGACAAGAGAGGAATACCTCGGAGGCTGGTGGCTCTTAGTTAGCACAAGGCATTTTAGGGCCACAAAAGGAATAATGAGACAAGAGAAGAAAAGCAGGAATCCAATAGTCCATGCAAAGTCACAAATAATTCCTTCTCTTCAAGCACTGGTGAGAGCGGAAGAGAACATTATGTTCGACACCCTGTATCTTTGTTGGACAAAAAGCACATTTGATGACAGGTGGTGGCAACTCCATCTCTTTCCTTTAATTGCACAAACCTTTGAAAACTACAGGGCTCAGAAATAATTGAGCAGATTGCAGAGCTCAGTAACCATCAGGACCCAGTGAGGATTTGGAGAACCACAGCATGTCAGAGCTGGGAAGGGGCCCAAAGCCCACCACCAACACAGTAAGAACTTAACTGGGGAAGTGGAGTGGTGGTGTTGGAAGCTGCACTGCACTGGACAAGGCTGAGCCTGCTCCTAATGCATATCTGAACAGGAGCAAAGCATTTTCCCTTTCCCAGGCCTCATGGGTTCTTGTGTTTCACATGAGCAGGGTAGAATACAAAGACTATTCCATCACTCAATTCTTATTTTTTTGCTACCTTTTCTGGCTACATGCCTAAATTTGATATGTGAAAGGGAAACAGAGTATCAGTGCTAAGCTCAGGTCTTGCACTGATGACTATGTATGTCTCAGATTTTCTAGGTTAGCTGCTTATTTAAACACGTCTCATTAAAATTCTACGAGCCTTTTCAGGTCACTGCTTTGGATCTGAAAGGTCTCTTGCTATGGATTGGGGTAAGTAGAGGGTTCACTGGTTTGAAGCATACGTGGAATAGGTGCTGAAAGCTTGGGGAAATACTCTTTCGTGAAGCAAGCAGAGTGCAGGACCACTGGGATACTAGAAGCTTGGAGTAACCTCACTGTTAAGGCAGAAATGCTCAGTGTCTTAAAGGGAGGTAATATGACTAAGCCCTCAGGATAAATCTGCATACTACCTTGGCTATATGGATCCCCGAGGAAGGGAAGAGCTTTGCCAGTCAGGGTGATGGGTGACAATCAGTTTTCTAACTTGTAAGGTAGATCTAATGATAACTGCCTAACATTTATAGAGCATGGTACCAAACATTGTGGTATGTGTTACCTCATTTATGTTTAAAGCTACTTTATGAGATAGCTACTGCAATTCATATCTCTTCAGATAAAACTAAATCTTAGGTTAAGTAACTTGCCCAAAATTGCATAGTTCCTAAATATAGGAAGGAGTCAGGGTCTGAATCAAGGTGGGGTTATACTTCCTAATATTGCACTATGCGGCTTTCCTGGGGGAATGAATTAGACAGGGCCTTATGAACAGCAGGTGCTCCTAAAACATCAGTGCTCCTTTCTTGGCTGCATAAAAATGTAGAAAGACTGATACAAAATCTGGGGTCCCAGGGCTTGCCTTACCCAGCTTGCCCCAGTCTACTTTCGTACCCAAAGGTGGTAACCCTCCCTTGGTCTTCTGGGTCCCTCCTGACCTGCTGTTGTGGGAACAGCTGCAGGGGACAGGGAGAGTTGCTGTGTCCTGTGCTCCTCAGAGTCAGTCATTTCTTCCTGGGTGAAGGCTATCTCCTCCATCCTCAGATACACAACCTCTCCGGGGCTTCTCAGACCATCTGAATGGCTGCCTGGGGGTGGGACAATGCACAAATCACCTCTCTGCCTTGGAGGAGGAGACTTGGGGCTCTGCAAGTCACCAGATGGCAGCCCTGGGCAAGGCTGGGGAGGAAGGCAGGGCCATCCTCACTCCATGAAGCCCATTCCATTTGCTCCCCCTGACTTACATGGCAGGCTGGTCCTGTTGTTCAGTAGCATGAGGGCAGCATCATCCTTGGGTGTCTGGGGTGTGACCCGGGTTGTGGGAACCTTGGTGGAGTCTCCATCAGTGAAGGCCTCCATGTCAGGGGACTGGGGTGAGCTGTCCATATGGCAGGCGGTGAGTGCATTCTGGTACTGCTGTCGTGTGACCTGGAAGGAAGTGGGTAGAAGCTCAGCAGAGCTGGATGCACCCTTCTCTGGATGTAGCAGCTTTCCTGAGCTGACACACAGCGCCCCTGGGGTGCTTTGGAACCCTGGGCTCTGAGGCCTGAGACCTTGAGCTGGGGGTCTTACCAAGATGTACCAGCCTGGCAGCTGAGTAATAATGAGGGGTCCTTTGCTTGCTGGCCACAGTTGGCACTGCTCATTTTTATTGGCTCCAGACTTCATGTGCACCCAGAGGAGGAGCCTGTCTAAGTCCATTTTGTGTTGCTATGACAAAGTAAACCAACTTTGTAAAAAGTAAACCAACTTTGAATCAAAAGTCGGGGGGCTAAAAAATCCAGACAGTGCTGGTATTTGATTAGGGCCCCCTGGCTATGTCACAACATGGCAGAGAAACAGAAAAGGCAATAGTCAAATACAGAAAGGGCCAAGCACATAAGTGATCTTGCTTTATAACAACCTAGTCCTGAAAGTACTATATGAATTCTTCCCAAGGGTGATGACTTCAGGACCTAATTACTTTCCCACTAGACCCCACCTCTTGAAGGCCTACTTCCTCGTGATAACTTACATCAGAGACTAGTTTCTCACACACGAACCTCTGGGAGACCTACTCAAACCATATCCAAATTGTAGCACACAGATGGTAAAATGGTCCTGTATTAGTGATTTTCAACTCTCAGCATCAGAATTACCTGAAGAGCTTATTAACATAAAATTAATGGTCCAAACTTCCAAATTTTCTAATTTATCAGATCTGGGGTAGAAATAGAATTCACTTTGCTAGCACGTTCCATGTAATGTTAATGCTGCTGCTCTTCAGATTATACTTTGAGTACCACTGACAGAGACCTAGTTCAATTCAGACGCAGGTCCCACTTAGATCCTTTTTCTTTTTCTCAAAAGGATTTTAAAGGACAAAGCAAAGTGTCAAAAATTGGCTTTGATACTTTTTAGGTCAAAACTGTATGATCTATATGGTTTATGGCATGGAATCATGGGTCTCAAATTAGCATTTGTCTCATGTTTTTAATAGACTGAATGTTCTTGTGGATAACATCTGATTTTTGCAGTGCCTCTTTGTTGGGAAGTATAAAATCAGGTTCCAAATTTCCCCCAAAGATGGAGAAGTTTAGCCATAACACTAATGGAAACGGAAATTTGTTAAATGCCACATGGTAAGCCCAACAAAGTAGTAGCTTTTACAATAGTTGTGTTCTTTAAAATAGCTCTAGATTTGACTTCTAGTTTAATCAAAGGAAGCTAAATGATCCCTCATCTAGAAACTATGGTAAGAAACACACTCCCTGCTCAAGACCAAGGTGCAAGCCATGGTTTTGCCACCTTCAAGTTGGGTGATCCTGACCAAATCATTAGCATCTCTGAACTTATAAAAGAGGCCCAGAGATAATGAGATAATGTGGGTGAAAATGTTATACAACTGTTAGTGATGACTAGTTTAAAATATGTCCACAGACAGGCCTCACACTTTGATTTTACAATGGCCATACATCTAAAAGACAGGGGTTCAATTTATTACATTAACTCTAAGTTAGCTATGGCATATCATGAGGTGGTAGCAGGAAGCTGTGTCCCTTCTGCCCCAAACCCAGTGTAATTGGTGGCAGTGTGACTGCCTCTTGGGAGCTACAACTGTTAACAAGATGCTCTTTTAACGTCTTTATTTTTAGAAAGGTTTCACCCACATTGTGTCTGTAGTGAACTGTACCACTCTCCTGGTTCTCAGGACACAGTGATAGGCCCATCCATTATTCATACCTGGATCCAGGAACTCAAACCCTTTCTTTAAACATCGTTAAGGAGGAAACAAAGAGCTGGAAATGAGGAATTATGTCTAGAAGCAATGCTGAACAAATGGAATAGCCACCTTATAAGGGACTGGGTTCCCCATCACTGAAGGCTTTTGCACAGATGTTAAATCACTGCTTGTCAACCACAGTAAAGAGGAGAATGAGACAGCAACAGTTAGAATCTAACATTAGTGAAAGAAGCATGGTAGTGGGAACAGGTTGAGGGAGTGTTAGTGCTGTTTGCCTGTAGGTGTACACCTGGAAAAGCACAACTCTTTAGTTACTTTCTTTATAAAAGTGTTTCATAGCTTTGCTTTCACACTGCAATCTTTAAATTTTTTTAAAACCATAAACTACTGTCTTGCCAACAGTGTCACTTTAACATAAACTGTAGACAGAGTATCACTACGGATAGTGTACCCAGGGACACAATCTCTGCTCTGCTTCTCTGAGCTGTATTTCTAAGCTCATGTATCATTTCCTGTCAGTTCTCTTTCCATGTTCAGCAGCTATGACAATTAAAAAAACAAAAACAGAAACAAATAGGTGCTGAGGATATAGCTCAGCAGTACAGTGCCTGCCTGCCAAGTATGAGGTCATGAGTTTGATCCCCGGTACCAAAACAAAACACAACAAAAAAGAAAATATATTTCAGAAAAACTTGGAAACAAAATAAAAGTTAACATATTATTATACCATTAATATCTCTAAGATCTTTAAGTGGGTCCTATATTCTAGGAATTCAGTTAGTAGCCACTCTTTTATTCAATCCATAAACACTTTCCAGAGATAAATATTCTATAATATTTTACATCTGAGAAAACTGAAATACAGAGCATTTTATAATTTATATAGTTTATCAATTATAAAGCTAATAGGAAAAAATAAATTAATCTGATTTTGAGCCTAATTTCATAAATTCCATTCTACTTTTGATTATTTATATTTGTAACACATGGTAAGAGAAGCAGAATATTTCTAGTTCAATTTTAGATATCATGAATCACTGGAGAAAAATTATCACTCAAGAAAAAATGCCAGAACAATGATAGCATACAAAAATCTACCTCACTAATCAGACACATAGTTATAGAATTAAATGAACATGTTAAAGAATTAAATGGGTAAATAAAACTATCATTTAAGAATATAACTAGCAACATAAAGATTAACAACACAAAGGAAGCAAAAAAGAGATCATTTATCAGCTAAAAATAGTGGAATATTTTCTTCTTTATTACTAGTGCATGTTGGTAATAAAGAACAGTGAGGTTCATTTGGTTACAATAATACACAAATACCATGGAACACGTGTTGATCTCTTTCTGTCTCACTACCTCACTGCTCCTTTCCCTGCCTCACTCTGACAGTCTTCCCCATCTCCATTATCTACTTCCTATTTCCCTGAATGACAACTTTTTTACTAGCATGGTATTGTCAAATAGAAACAGAATATGAGTGAGCCACGTAAGCAATGTCATATTTTTTAGTAGTTACATTCAAAAAAGGAAAGAGAAGCAGGTGAAATAATTTTGATACATTCCCCTCAATATATCCACAATAATTCCACTGCAACACACAATCTATAAAATCATTGGGAATTTTGCATTCTTTTTTGTATTAAGGTTTTGAAATCCATTACACACTTTATATTTGCAACATGTCTGGATTTGCCCTATTCTTCTACTGTATTTCATGGCAGCAAAGGTCCAGGTTTTCTGCAGACCTAAGCTGCCCTGCCCAGTTTTGGGGACCTGGCCTGATTGAAAAATGTCCCTACTCTCACCATTTCAGAACTGTGGATACAGCCCAGACACTCTTTATTCACCGTCCCTTGACTATATCATATCTACCTGCCTTCATAATCTGTTTATCCCTACATTGCACTGCCTTAACTCCTCTCTGATTCTTTCCTAATTTTTAAACATCTAGACATTCTCCAACCAATGTAGCATTTCACAAATGCTATGTGATTTTGTAATCAATTAATTAATATCTAGCACTGGTTGCTGTTATTTAACTTATGTTTCCTTTCTCTAAGTAGGACTTAATCCATTTTAGAAGGACTCAAATATTTAAAAAAATAATGTTTTTTTTTAAAAACATGTTTTTATTTCCTCTTCACTGCTATAGAGAAAACCATTTCTTAGAATAGCTTGAGTTCAAACCCCCCACCTCCACCGCCACCCCGTTATTGAACAGACAGGGCTTTCACACTGAGCTATACCACCAGCCTTTTAATTTTGAGACAGGATCTTGCTAAGTTGCAATTTAGGGATTCTGCCACAAGATGGTGATGGTATCTTGGTCAAGGTTATAGACTTCACATAGTAAGATACCTGCCAAATATTCTCAGTTTAAAAGTGATATGTACAGTACACATTTAAAAAATAATAGAGATTGTTTAATAGCATCACAATTTAACTAACTATCCCTCCCACCCTTTTTTGTGCTAGTGCTCAAACCTAGGGCTTCTTAACTACTATTAATCCTGGTTTGTTTAAACTTTTGTTTTGTTTTGTTTTGCCAAGCAGGCACTTGCACCACTGAGCTAAACACCCAGCTCATGGCTTGTTTATACCTTTTCCTGACAATCATTAGATGAACTTCCCTATCTTATTTTGTAACGTATCTTGAAAACAAGTTACTCTTGGACTTTTTAACACCTCTAGAACTTCAGTTTATTGGATGTGAACAGTCCTTAAGAAATCAGCAGCAGGGAGTAAGCTTCTAAAAGCACTTTTCCACACTGTCTTTTCTTTATCATCCTCAAACTTCTCCTTGGGGTTAAAAAGAGGGTGGGGAAGGTAGGTTAAGGAAGTAGATACTACAGCAGCCTGAATAATAGACCTGACAAGTCTACTAATCAGAAAGAGGTACCTTTCAACTTTAATGGGTGGCATAGTCTTATGAGCAAAGTAAGTTAAAACAAATATCTTGAATAAAATAGGAGCTTCAGCTCTTCAAGTTCTCCTGGGCAGGATTATCCATTTTAGGGATTGAAACCATAGGTTTAAAGAAGTTTTTGAATAATGCTTTAATTGGTTAGCCTTCTCAATGTCAAAACATCTAGGTGGAAAGAAAAAAGTCCATGCTCTGTGCTGGTTGGTGGCTCTGTAATGTCCTTTAGTTTGAGAAAAGAACAGAAAACTGGTCCTTTGAATGGACCTTGGCTTTGGGGTTCCCAAAACTGCCACTCTCTTGGGTCAGGGAAGAGTCTGACCTTCTATGTGCCCTATTATTTGCAGATCTTTTTCCTATGTCTCGGGATGCAGATATGAAATTATTTTCAAGGGTTACGAAAATGCTTACAAATTTCCTGCCAAGTATTTGTCTTAGCACATTTCTATTTGAGGAGCTGCTATCTTACATAGACACTCATCAGTCTATATAAGCCTGACAATGTTTTTAAAAAGTGGGCTCATTAAACCTGGCTCCTAAAGAATTTCATTCACTTTTCCCTGCATAGCAGCAAATCAAGTCTTCATACTGATTTTCTGAACTTAAAAATAGTATTATGGACCAAATGTGTCCCCTCAAAATCTCTATGTTGAAATCTAATCCCCAGGGTGAGGGTATTTGGAGGTGGGGCCTTCGGGAGGTGATGAGGTCTGTGGGTGGAGCATCACTGATGGAATGAGTGCTCTTATAAGAAGAGGACATTTCTCTCCTCTCCTCCAAGTGAAGGCACAATAAAAAGGACATCTGCAAACCATGAACCAGGCCATCACCAGACACTGGATCTGCCAGCATCCTGACCTTTGACTTTCCATCCTCCAGACTATGAGAAAGAAATATTTGTTGTTTCCGTCATCCAGCCTGTGGCAATTTGTTACAACCACCCATGAAAAGATCTGAGACATGAACTTAACAAAAATTCCCAATGCACTTGTGATAGAACTCAGATTCCATAGTCTGGCCTGAAGATCCCATGTGGTACTCTCTGATGCCCCCTTCCCAGCTCACATCTCCCTGGCTTTGCTCCTTCTGGGCTGGCACTCAGATCCTTGACCTGCCATGCCCTTCCTCATCTCTGTTTCCTCCTAGAATATTCACTCCACATTCCATGTTTCAGCGGAAGTCTCTTTTCCTCAGACTGTTTGGATAGCCATTTCAAAGGCAGTCTCCTGGCCTCCTCTATCTAATCACTGTTTATCCCATGGTCCTGTTTATCCCAAGGCTCTTATTACTACTTGGACCTATCTAGATTCTTTATATTTACTTGTTGTTTGTCATCTTTTTCCCCTTGTCAAGTAAGCTCTAGAAAGGCAGCGGTCTGTTGCCTTTAGCCTAGTATCTTGTCAATGGAAGCACACATTCATTGTGACTTCCTACCCTGCCCCAAACGTACAATATTATAAACTGCTACAGTTTGGCATGGAGGAGTTTCCTTCTCCCATGTTTTTCTCTACCTTGCCTTCTGAAGAAGGTCAGAAGTGTTAGTAATGAAAGGGCTTCTAGGCTGAAAGCCACAGAGACAAGATCGGAGGCTATGGCTTTCTAAGGCTTATCTTTTCTGTCATGTTAGACTTCTCAAATGTCTAGTCACAAGTCCCTGTGAGTAAAGCATGATGAGTCTCTGGCAACTTCTCCTAGGCTCTGCTTCCCCGCAAGTCTCTCTGAAGCCCAGTGATTTCAGGGCTTAAGCTCTGGAAGCAGACAGACTTGACTTGGAAGCTTGGCTACATTACTTATGAGCCACATGATCTTATACTCCTCAAGCCACAACTCATTAATCTGAACAGTGGAACTGCGAGTAGGACCTACCAGGAGAGTAAATAGTCAGTGCAAACACAGGTCCTGGTAAAGTTCCTTGCACAGGGCACTTCCACATGATAGTTATTATTCTAACTTATCCTCTAGGTTCTGTCCCTCCTGCTAGTAATTTTCCATGATGAATTCTTTCCATGGTTACTTTCATCAGCTCAAGATGTTTGTAGAATTCTGGGACAGAGAAAGCCAGTCATCTTCATGTCCAAATCATCAAGGGATGTGCCCTGGACAAAAGGGAAGGACCTTCGCCTACCTGTGTGATCTTAGTATAGCTCTTGTCACTCAGCCTGCAACCAGGACAGCAGTTACCAATTACACTTAGTAGGTATTTCATTGGGCTGGGATATGTGGGCTGTAGCCAAGATTTCAGCCCAAATTTGTTATGGTTTACTCAATGCTAGAAAACAAAACAAAATGACAGTAGAGTGAGAGAAAAGGGAAAAATTTAAAAGGCTTCTGTACAATGCCAATCCCAGTGAAAGGTGTGAAGAAACAGTCTCTCACAATTGCAAAGTAAAGGGCAAGGCTGACTCTCTCGGCAAGTCTTTGCAGAGTGGCCTGGAGGTAAGGAACTGTTAAAGTTTTCTACACAAGATTTTCAGTTAGCACAAGGGCCCACTTGTGCTTTAGACTATAAATATTAAGGTGCAAAGTTATACCATTAGGTATACCAATATTATAGTAAAACCACAGCATCATTTTTTCTGTATACTGTGTTTGTTAATCACCTGCAGGTTGATCTTGAAAAACAAGTTAATAAAATCAACCCATGCTAATACTTTTCCCAGAATTCTCTTTGGATCCTAGGGGATCCAAAGAGAATGGTTCTACTAGAAATTTGCAGACAAGCTAATCTTCCATTGCTTTCTGCCTCAGTTTCTCACATGAAAAACAAAGATCAGGAGATTTCGACAGTGACAACTACCGAATAATAGTAAAGCTTACTGAAGCAACAGGGCCTTTATAAAACCAAGGAACAATTACCACCCAGCATTGCACTGGAACATGGGGAAAGGTGATATATAATATGACTGGGGTGGGGTCTCCTTGTCCAGCTTCCCCAGCTAACTCTGCCCACTGGGAGGGAAGAGGGGCTTCACTTCCAGGGGAATTACCTTCACAAACTGCACATCGCTGAGGATGTGGACTGAGTAGTCGGGTGTGTAGAGGTTGTTGCTGCTGCTATACAGCTGGGTGTTGCTCCCACCAAAGTCACTGCGCTCTCTATTCGGAGACTCAGAGCGATTCAACCCGCTGCAGCGAGAAGGGGATCGGTTTACTGCAGATGGTGAGGAAGAGGACAGAGAGAAAGACAAGAAGGAGCAGAAAAGAGAAAAGAAGCGGGTAGAGAAAACAGGGAGTGGAAGGAGGGAGAAAGAAAAAGGTGCTGTTTACTGAGGTCCAACAGGACTATCAGGAGATTGTAGCACTAGGTTGTAGAAAGGGGCCCTCATCTTCCCTTCAGAGCCCAGCAAGAAGCCCCAATGTTTTGCTGCGGTTGACTCCTTGAGGCATAAATATCCCTCCCTGTGGCCTTTTCCAGAAGGGGGTTTGGGCATTTGTTTCCCCCTAGACAGCAGCTGAGGAGGTCCACTGTTTTTATTAGTTCTTATTTCAAGATTACACACAAGAGGACCTCAAATGTGTGAGTAAGTTCTGTGAACGTAGTTTGCTAAGCCAAAATATAAAACCCTCTAGTAGGGAGGCATACTCTACCTGTGACAAGCCCTGATTTAGAGAGGCCATGGTCTTAGGTTTGCCCTGAAAATCACCTGTCTCAGCACAGATAATCGATCTTCACTAGGGTGATATGTCTCAGTGGGGTTAATTCAAACCTGCCCAAACACTGGTAGGACTTGGAACAAGAGTACAAACAAAAGGCCCACAAATTATATGAATACAGTACTTGGAAATTATAAATGACATTAATAAACTGTTAACATATGTTCTATTCTTATCCTTGACAAATGTTTATAACAATTTGAAAGCCCAGTTTGACCCCTTAGAGTTATGTGCTAGAAAACAGCCCTTGCTATCTCCAAGAACAGTTTGGGGGTGAGGATTTCAGGATCCTATGAATCTGAAATGTGAGCTAGGAAGAACAGGGGCGTCAGGTGGGCACATGCTCTTGGCTCTCTGAATTCTTGCCCCACTTGCAGTGGTGGGACTGGGAAAGACCAAAGTGGGGCCCCTGAAAGTGTGGCTTAGGGCAGCATTAGCCCTTGAATAGGTCTAAGTAGGGACTGAAATAATCCACAGGCTCTCTCCAAACATCCAAATGTCCTGTCAGCTTTTTACATTTTAAGGAGTTTTGGGGTGGGGGTTCAATTTTATTTGGTTTCAAAATGGACTCTGAACTACATCCCTGGGACCAACAAAAGACAGAGTGCTGAGAGTGACCCCAGCATCACCTCCACCATGAGACAGCACTAGTGAGAAATAGCAAAGCCAACAGAAGACACTCTGTACTTCCAAAGGGAAAAAAAAAAAAAGAGAGACAACAGGAGGTTTGTCTCATAGCCCACATTAACTCAGGGCTAAAAAACAAGAAACAAGTTCTTCAAAGATTCTGCGCCTTGCTTTTGCAGGTAGACCCTTGGAAATTTTTTTCTCTTTGGCTAATGCTGCCATCAATCAAAATACTTGATTAGCACCTATTTGTAGGGAGTCATAGAAGCTGGCAATCACTTTAGCTGTTTCTGTCTAACAAATCATGAAACAAAAAGATTAAAAATAAAAATAGGTTGAATTATTTTCTCATTAGAATCACAATAATCACTGCTTTGTTATAATTATAGAATTAAAGATTCAAATTCCATCTTACCCTTCTCAGTAAACGTCACTCATTTATTTACTGTTACTTAACCCAGAAACCTGGAGTCACCTTTGACTCTTGTCATTCTCTCAGCCCCACATCAAATTCTACCTCCGTCCAGCCCATCTTTTTTATGACTCTCCAGTTAAACCCAGTCACTATCACCTTTACCTCACAGCCTGATCTCCCTATTTATAATCTTATAAAGTGGTCCCCGGCTAATCTGTGGAGAATACATTCCAAGATCCTGAAACCACTGATAGCATCCAATCCTAAGTATTCCGTTTACTACTATATATATGCAGTGCAGTAAAATAAAATACGTAAAATATTAAAAATTTGGTTACAGCAGGACACTGTCATTAATCCTTCCTCAAATTATTTCCCCTTGCTTTGAATGCACACCCCATCACTCTGAAGAACTTCTGCAAGTCTTTCTTGTGTGTATCCGTAAGCCTGCAGGGTACTGGGAATACAGGTGTACACCATGACACCTGGCTTTTATCCCATTGTTCTTGACAGTGTTTTTTATAGAAATAATTTTTTTTTATCGGTACCAGGGATCGAACTCACAACCACGCACTTGCAAGGCAGGCGCTTATGCCACTAAGCTAAATCCCCAGCCCCTAGAAATAAAGTTTTAAAAAGTTTAAATATTCATATTATCTTTCAATCACCTCTTACATATCTACGATAAAGTTTAATTTACAAATTTGACATAATGAAATGATATTTATTTCCGTTAACTAATAACAACTGTAAAAATATATTAAAATAAAAGTTATTTGGGCTGGGCATTTAGCTCAGTGGCATAAGCGCCTGCCTTGCAAGCAGGCAGTCGTGAGTTCGATCCCCGGTACCGATAAAAACGAAAAAGACAAAAAAAAAGTTATTTAAAACTTATAAATTGTTTATCTGGAATTTTACATTCAATATTTATAGACCACATTTAACCATGGGCAACTAAAATTATGGGAAGTGAAAATGTGGATAAAAGAGCATCACTACTATCTGCTTTAGCCTCAGCTTCCAGAATAACGTTTTAAAACATCATTTAGCTTCTTACTATACTTACTATACTTTTGCATAAATCCAAATGCTTTTTGTGGCCTTGACACTCCCATGACCTGACCCCTTTTCCCACTTCATCTTCTGTGGGGCCTCCCTTCTCCTTGCCTGCTTTGCTCTTGCGCTCTGGCCTCCTTGGGCATCTCAACCACGCAAGTTACCCCTACACTCCCAAGTAGACATCATCTCCCTACTCTCATGCCCTGCCAAAGTTGCTTACTTCTTGGTTCCTGCCTATCACTGAAATACAGCCTTCTCCGAAGGCCTTGTCTGGCTACTCTAAGAAGATCCCGTTTTCTTCTATCACTGCCCCTATGCATTCCATCAAAGCACTTTTCCAAAATATTAATTACATGTTTGTACTTGCTTATTATGTTTGTTCAACTCTAAGTTCCATGAAGACAGAGAGCTTATCTTTTTAAAGATACAACACTGTTAAATATGCCTAGTGCCTAGCACAGTGCATGACTTGGAATAGATAGATATTCAATACAAATGCACAGTGAACAGATTTGTAACTAAGGGTCCCTTTGGGGAGGTTATTTAAAATCTGAATATTGTTTAAGAAAAGAACTCTCAAATGTGTTCTAGAGTCAGAAAGTTAATTTCTCCAAGAACCTAGTGGGGGAAGAAGGACAACAGAAATGGAGGTGAGTAGAGTTAAATCTTGCACACCCAGAATTCAAAAAGCCTTAGACCATGGCCTAGTACCATTGAGGGAGAGCCCACAGGGAATGCCAGGATTCTCAGGGAATGTGTAATAACAGCTGTGAAGCAGGGGTGGGCGGGTGTTGTCCTGGAGTCTGATGTACAAGGTACCCACTGGGTGATGGAAGACTAAGAGGGCCAGTGCCAGTGCCATGGAGGATATACAATACTGTTACCAGAACAGTATTGGACAGACAAGGGTACATTTCCACCTTTGTCCTGGTCCCTTGAAAACAGACTGATAAGGTAAGGTCTGGCTTGGCTAGGTCTTTGGTGGCTGTTTGGAGAGATAGTGTTTTCACCTCCTGGCCAGTTTTTGAGGCAATAGGCAGGTAGTTTTGCAGGAAAGCAATCTCTTGTCATGAGAGTAGCACCTGGAAAATTTGACAGAGTGGCTCTTAGCCTCAGCTGTTTGGTCACTTTGAGAAAGTGCCATCATGCCTTGAGAACTCTCTGCTTTGCCCTGGCTGGACCACACTTGCTTTTCCACATCCTTTTCCTTTATGTCACAATTCAAGATACATTCAGGGAAGACGAGAGGGAACTAGATGCTTTCCATCCACAGAAGTTTCTGTGTAAAATCACTTCTACTTCTCTGCAGAAACAGAGACAACAACCACATCCCAGTTCCCCACAAAGCTCTCATCATCTCACAGGCACCCAGCACAGAAGCCATGCTGTCATGCAGAGGGATTCACATGTCAGGTACAAACTACATCACTGTTGTCCTGGAAGGACAAACGTATCTTTTTTGTTGTTGTTTTTAAGTCGGTGTGTTCTTGAAGGTTTATTCATGAAATCCCAAAGAATTTCCAACACCAAAATTACAACTGTTTTTACAAGGTTTGGGCCTATAAAGCATTTTTCAAAAGGAAAATAATCCTTATTTTATGACAAAGAAAGTTCTGCTTCATCTGAGGGTTGTGCAAAATCAATGTTCTGTGTCCCCACAGCCTGACATTCCTCAATAGGTAGGATGCTGACAACTCAGCATTTTAGTAATTGCGTACATAAATTCAGAGATTTCTGAGCATGGCAAATGGAAATAGAAATGCATTAATAAAAAGGAGAAAAAATCAGTAACAGACGAGTGTCCCAGCAGCATGGCAAACTAGTTCAAGTTGTAGAATTCCCCTTGGCATTTCCCAAAGGCACAGAGGCACAGCGTGGGGGAGTAAAGTGACAAAGAAAATCCTAAATATAGTGCAAAGAGTTCTAAAAGGAGAGAGGTCAAACAGCAGTGTAGAAAATGACCATAGGACCTGTCCAGAGGAGGTAGACCAGGGAGCCAACATGTTCTTTGCCCACTCTTGCTCTTATATTAAAATCAGTTCTAGTGTGACCAAGTGCTAGGGAGCAGGACTTTCTAGTCTGGACCACCAACTGCCATAGCAAAGTTCAGCAGACCTTATTTCTGCAGGCTTTCAGGGATCAGTCTGCAAGAGATATCTGTCCTGCCCATCATCTTGGAGTGACTGAGGCCGAGTGGAGAAGATGCTGGGATAAAACTGCTGGAGAGTGAGGAAGGGTGTGGAAGAGGATTTCACACTGTCTTTGAAGCTAGATGGAATCGCTTCACTCTGCACTACCATGAAGGGGTTCCAAAAATTTAAACTACTGCCTTGAACTCTTGCTTTATCCAGGACCTTCACAACCCTATCAAGGAAATAAGACTCAACATATCAAAGTGGAATGCCCTCCTCCCCTTTTACACATGAGACTATGAGAGAAAAAGAGGGCTCAGAGGCTGCCTGGCCAGATCTTTTGGAGCATCAGTGAGGGATGGGAGAGAGGCAGCTTCTTTTGGTCATGAATTCTTCAAATCAGAGGGGAGAGTTTAATTATACAGGCTTGTAAGAGTACAAACTAGGATAATTAACATTTACCATTCTGTGTAATATTTAACATCAGACAACCAAATGTCAAGTCAGTCCTCTGTCAAAGCTCAAAGTGAACTCTGCAAGTTAGCCTGAGTTAAGATCCCAGATGAACCCACTCACATTACTTGGAGCTTTAATGGTTCCCAAATGTTTACAACTACGCAAGAGCCAGCCCAAAGGAATATTTCCATTTGCCTCACTTTACAAAGTAGGAAGACTATTTTTGGAGATTCTCTATATATTCTGGGAGAAAACTCCACGGACTTTGCACGCCTACCCATTGCATATGGATAACTGAGCATTGAAAAAGAATGCTTTGTTTCGACATCTCTTATGTCTCTGCTTTTGTGGATTTGGAGGAACTCAACAGTATCCCACTGTCATGAGAAGAAAGAAAGAAATCTGGAGAGAGGGAAGGATAACTACAGTGGTCCAATCAGAAGTTTTATTTTAAAGTGAAAACACCTGAAAAAATGGCTAATTACATCACAATGTAGAGGTAACCCACAAGCCACTCTGTTGTCCTTATTAAACTAAAGTAAAAATAGAAAGAAATGTCCATGGATAATGATTTGCATTCACATGCTAGGCATTTTCACAGTATTTGATGCAAGGACCCCTGCTGTTAATCCAATGTGAGTACCATTTTCATTAGCATGGCTAAGGCATGGAAATCACAGCTCTGAAGAATGCATAAAATGCCTGCATTCAGAAGTGCAGCAAGGTCCCTGGAAATAAGAGGAGTGCAGAACTAAGACTTGGATTGTAGCCCTCATCCTTCAATCTACTTACTTTACATATAACACTGACCCAGTGGCTTAATTTCAGTCTGTTTCCTTATTATTTTCTAAGAACAAAATTTCTGCCTATGTTCCAAGGTGGCTATGGGGGTCAAACAAAATAATAACCACTTATTTTCAAACTTAAGCTCTTACCTAGATAACCTAAGGGTTATCTTTTTCCCCGTATAAGATGAGGGGAAGAATCAATATATGTTTCTGTATCAGAAATCAAGTACGGGGCCAGAAGGTGTTCAAGATTTCTTTCCACAAAATACCAGGCCTCTGGAGTTTCTTCTTTGGTAATGTGGAACAGAAAGGAGAGTGACAGAGCCAATACTATAGTGTAGCCCCAGGAGACATCACCCACTTGCTGGGAAGGCTGGGTAGCTGACTGTAGATAGAGACCACAGAAAAGAAAACAGAGGCAAAGAACTGAAGAAGTAGCACGGCGCTCCCTGCCTCATTTTCCCATCCATCCCATCCATCACTGCTCCGTCCTACAGAGCTGAACCCAGAGGAGGAAAAGGCTGGTCTTGCACTAGCTTCTTTACTGGTGAGCTGAACACCCACAGACATGGAGAATGGGGTTAAGGTTGAAAGGGTTTGAAGCACATGGTGTCAGGCAGAATAGAAGCAGAAGTCTCAGGCCCTCCTTTGAGGGTCTGTATAGCAAGAGTTGGTCATTTTTTTCCATCTGACACTGGCTTGCTATGAAGGTTTTCATAATAAATACTGATGAATTATTATTAATATTCCTTAAACTAGGAAGTTACAATTAAGTTATCTGTACCTCTGCTTTGATTCTTTTGGTTGAAAATCTATAAAATGTGTGTCTTCCCTGTCTGGAAGATGCACGGGAGACTCTTAGCACTCCCTAAGATTTGCTGTGTGTGAAGGATCTTGAAGTTACATGATAGGGTCATTTATAATTTTGCTGGCATGCTGGTGAGGATGCCAGGCTAGCATCTTATACTGGCTGTACATCCTGCAATTATCATGAAGGCAGGGACACTCCCAACAAAGGACAACCTTATTTCTTAATGGAAAGTCACCACTGAGTGAGGGAGAAAGCTTTGATGAAATCTGAGATGGTAGCTAGTTCTTCCTGAAAGGTAAACAGGGGAACCAGATAGTTTTTGATGGAAAAATGTAATTTGAGAGAAAAGAGAAGTCAATGTAAATACTTCTGACATTGCAGACATGGGAGTGAGAGGTCTCAGGGCACTGCCTTTTCTGAATGAGGGTTTACTATCTTCAGACAACAAAATGTAACTGAAATTTTTTAAGGTACTATGTATTAAATCCATACATGTTAGGCAAACGCTCTTATCACTGAGCTATACCCTGAGCCCTTTTAAACATTTTTATTGTGAGACACAGTCTCATAAAGTTACCCAGGCTGGACTTTAAATTGTGATCCTCCCGCCTCAGTTTCTTGAGTAGCTGGGATTATAGGTGTGTGCTATCATGCCTAATCACACCTGAATTCTTGATGGGATAAGGGACACACTGGGGTAAGGGACACAGATGGAGAAGCTGTAGAATTTTGACTTTCTAACTGCAGGGTGATTCTATAAATTCCTACTTTAGTCTTACTTGCTCTATGGGTCTCTATGGATCTAAGAGATTAACTTCTAGAGATGAAAACAACATAATCAACTATGATTGTTCATATTTATTGCACTATACTCAGTCACTGAGTTTCAAGTTCTAAAATGCTACTTGATTAAAAATGTTTTTATTTAATGAGAGGTTAGATCTCAGAAAAGTTCTTTTGAAATTTTTGTATCATTTTGGCATCATTTTTACATACAGAGCCAAAAGAAATACAACCATCACACACTACAATTGTTAGGAAGATAAGGCGGGTTCATGGTTGGCTAAAGGCAAAGGGCACATAGAAAGAATATTGGAAGAAAGAAAGGTAGATATAAAGCATAATATTGCATTATTTCTCTTTTTCTTGACATTTAAAACAAAATTTTTATCTGTTTTGATGCTTTCAGTGGCAAATAATAAAACACAGAACAATATTCTATATAAAATAATATAGAGTATGGAACATCACAATAAATTCTTTTATCTTGCAGAATAACTTTGCATAATCATATTCAAAAAATATCTTATATATTTATTAATCTTCATATAACAAACATTTTTTTTGTTTGTTTTTTTGTCTTTTTCGTTTTTATCGGTACCAGGGATTGAACTCATGACTGCCTGCTTGCAAGGCAGGCGCTTACGCCGCTGAGCTAAATCCCCAGCCCCACAAACATGTTTTTGCTAAGCAAAAATCATCTCCCACTGCTTCTGGGATTAGACTTCCTCTTTCTTAAAAATCTGTTCTAAAATATTTAATTTGCATTATACCCAAATCTATTGGGCCAAATCTATTGGATATGGCCAGACCTGACCAATTAATGAAGCCATGTCTTGTTCCTGGTTACTGTAATTAGTTCTCTCATGACAATTAACATAAACTAGACCAATCAAATCCTTCTTAGGATGTTTTTAAAAAATTAGAAATACAGTTTCTGTTGATAGAAGAGGAGTCTAGAGGTGCTGGTGGTTATCATCCTGTCACACCAAAGGGTTAGGATACTAAGTTCTCAATCTGAAAATATGATTTCAGCATCTACTTTTAGTTGTGTCTGAAGACCCACTTGCCCTGTTACACACAGTTATATCTCACCTTCCTTCCTTCCTTCCTTCCTTCCTCCCTCCCTCCCTTCCTCCCTTCCTTCCTTCTTTTTCCTCTTCCTTCCTTCCTTCTTTCTCTCTTTCCCCTTTTTTTTCTCCTAGTCTTTCACTCTGCAATCAAACAAGAGAAAGAACTTGCATTGTTCCTCAACACCACTAATTTACCATGTATTTACACAGATATGTCCCGGAAGGCAGACTCATAAATGATGCTACTCAGTCAGTAATGCCTGGACGGTGTGTACAAATGAACGTTACCTGTGTGATATGTAACCCTTAGTCACAGGAGTGAGGCAGGAAGAGACTAGGTCATATGTAGGACAGTAACAGAAACCAAAGACACTCTGCAAACCCCACTGGATGGACGGATCTAGAGACCCACGACATCCATGCATGTTTACCTGGGGAGCCTGCCAGGGAGTCCCCTCTGCTGAAGGCGGAGCGCGACACAGAGACAGGCACTAAAGAGTTAGGGGCCAAGCGCATGTGAGTATTGAAGGGGAAGATAAACATAAAAGGAGAGAGACAAAGAGCAAAGTGGGTGAGACAGTCTGTTCCTGGATCTTCATAACATCCCACTTCTCTGCAAAAAGGAACCTTATCTCTGAAATCATGGGAATTACTACTGTTTATAGTTCCTCCCCAGAAAGACAAGAAAATAAGGTTTTTCTGGAGTTCTCCTGAAAAAATGTGCACTATCTCAGAGGGAATCAGAGATGCCAATGGCAAGCACAGGCAATGCCTGGAGGGTAGTGCACAGGCAGCATTCCCAGGACTGCATTCCATTGTGCTTTCCTAGCTGCCTGTGTCATGCATGAGCACATGCACAGGCATCAGAGGCCTGAAGGCCAAGCATATGCTTCTGCTAGGTCCATACTCGAGGACACTGGCCCCTGCCTAGGCCTGCTAGATGCTCTTTCTGGGGTCACAGTACTGGTGAGGAACTGGGCCTTGCTAGGGGATCAGAACAAAAGGAAGGGCCAAATTCTAGCAGTTTTAATGGAAGTGGACTTAGGTGAATTAAATAACAGTCATTTCTCAGCATGTACAATTGCTCTAAAACACCTCTCTTTTTATTCCCTTTTCCCTTCTCTTTCCTGACAATCAAAAATGGAATTGGCTATTATTTGGGCTGAGGTGGGATGGAGAGTGTAGCAACACTTCAGTTGCTTCCCCATCTTGATACTGATCAGTGGTATCTGTGCAAGGGAATCTCTCGCATCTGTCTTGTCTGACCACTCTGAGTCACTTCCAAACAGCTAAATGAACCCAGTCTGTAAGTAAAGACCCACTTAAACAGGTTAACACTGTGGTCTTATTTTCTGTACCACAAGTTTTTATCTGAAATTACTTATCCATACAGGGGAGCAAAAGGAGGGCCTTCTACCTTCCTGGTAATCATTGTGATAAAAGATGTCAATAGATATTTGAATGAGTTTTGTTGTGAGACACATTAGAATAAGAAATTCCCAGTCTCAAGAAGAAACATAGCTTTTCTTGAATTGAATGTGTACACCACTAAACAGATAGAGAAGACTGGATCTCTCCTGGCTGCACTTGTTCCTGGTATCCAAAGTTTGGCCAAGATTCTTCTAGATATCCAGGCTCACTCACCACGGTATTTTGGGTTCATTCTGTCAGAATGAAGACAATAGAGACAATGTGGACTGTGTTCTTTTCGTTCTACCCAGGAAAACCAGAGAACTTGTTTCTTAAGTTCAACTCTGAGGGACAGGTCATAGGATCAGTATTTTGGCAAATTCTTTGTCTCATTTTTCACTCTCAAAAGCTGAGTCAGCGGTGGGTTGGTTTCAAGGACAAGAGGAGTTTGTTAGGTCAAGATCTTAAAAGATTTTACCTCCCTGTTTCAGGATTAACCTCACTCACCCTCAGCCTACAGACTGAGATTCTTGGTCAGTGAAGGATACTGCTGAAGGCTGGAATTGGGGGTTAGCTCTTGGCTGGGGGAACGACTGTGCGGTGTAGGCAGACTTTATTTTCATGCTCAACTCTCTTAAGTCAGGAGGGGTTAGGGAAAGAAGGAAAATGTCTTTTTACCTCTACTGGCCAATAATATTTCTTTTTCCTATGAAAAATTTATGAAGATAATCAGCAGTGTGGAGAAAGAAAGTTCAATGGTTTCTTTTAGTTAACTGGTTTTAAGGGAGAGATTAGTAGTATAATCTTACTCATGGATCACTGATCAAAATGAAGGATTATGGGGGCTGCGGATTTAGCTCAGTGGCATAAGCACCTGCCTTGGAAGCAGGCGGTTGTGAGTTCGATCCCTGGTACTAATAACAAAAAAAAAAAAGGAAGGATTATGACAGAAATAATTAGGGCCAGCAAGGAAAGGAAGAGATTGGATTCCCTCCTCCCATTTTTTTGTTTAAGAATAAAGTCATCTAAATTGGGTAAGCTAGGGAGCCTTATGTAGTTCTGTTTTCTTAAGAGTTCTCATCTCTTTTGTCTTCTGGAAGAGCTAAAGCAGGGTCAGCACTGCTAGGTAAAATAGCAGTTCTAGATTAGTCCTTAATGTGACAGATCATAGAAGTCTCATTTTGAAAATAAAAAGTATATCCAGTCTTGTAACCTGCTCTGCACCCATCCAGCACTCTTAATACTGAGAACTGACATTTCCTTCATAACCTTGATTAAGATTTGTTGGCTTCCATAAGTATTACAATGTATCATGGTTTTTCATTTTATAGATCTCTCTCATCTCAATTTCTGCAACCTCTTACTTGTGCGAAAGGTACTTAGTCTTCATTTCAGCCACCTGAAGGAACAGGTGGTAATATTACATGGTGAATTGCACTGGTATTTCCATATAGTTATTGGATTCTGGAATACAATGAAGTTAAAATCTGCATTTCACTGTGATCTATAAACTAGTCAGGACATCAGGATACATTTAGATAAGTTACTAACTTTCTAGGTGATCTCAAGCAAATTTCTTTGGTTTCTTTCACTTTAAAAGGGCATCTACTTTTCTATGTTTTAGAGGTTGTTGTAGCAAGCTCTGGGACTCTCTGATAAGTCCCAATATAAAGCATTATATAAAAAATCTCTTTTATGGTGAGAGGAAAGATCCCCACTTGACATTAAAGTGACTACTTCAAACACTAAGAGCTCAAAGCAAGCAAAATTCAGACTAGTGAATCAAAAGGAAATCTAGAGATAGAATTCTTTCTGATCACACAATAAATGCCATGCCTTCTAAATGTGAGTGCCACAGCCCTACATAGGAAGCAACAAGAAAGTGCAGCACAGAAGGGGAGAGGAAACCAGCCACCATCCCTGTGCCAACCCCCACTAGCAGCATGCATGGCCACCTGGCAGCCACCTTTTCACCAGCTGGGAGGTGATAAGCAAAGAAAGAGAAGCAGATAAGCAACATATTGCACCAGACTGAGATTTATATCTCCAAATCTCACAGTCATGTCTCACTGACGGCAAAGGCCACAGACACAGTAACAGCACAGGGAGGTTTTCAACTAAAGGCCAGAGGTGAATTAACATTGCAGAAAATGAAAGGCTGATTGATCCTCCACCAAGCACACAAATTACCTGCATTCCCTGGCAGGTGGCCATTAATGGTACCGCTCTTCACAAATCTACCCTACCCCCACCATCATTCATCAGTTGTGCATAAGCAAAGAAGCCACAGAAAGCATTCCAGACACACAGAACCTAGGCCTCTATACTCTGTGGGTACCTGGCAGGAGGCAGTGTCCCTGGCGGAATATTACAAAGAGGCTGCCAGCATTTCTGTTAGCCTAGTCCAGGCTCAAATGCTTGGTCCCCAGAATGGGCTCAGGCAAGCCACGATGGGGAGGACAAGGAAAAGGTTTGATAAGATACATACGAAAGACGGAGGATCCAGCCAGACTTCCAACCTTCCGCACGTCATTATCTAAGGACAGAAGGATGCAGTGGGTTTCAGAGGCAATTCAGAAAACACACCTGCTTATGGGGATCCCCACTTCCACTCCACCCCCAGCACCAACGAACCCTGTGAAAACAATGGAAGGGTACAGAAAAAGTGTAAAAAGCAAAATAGATTTGTCTTTATATTGAGAAAATACATATTCTACCCCAACACTTGATAATGTGATTGCCTTTTTAAACTTTATTTTTCCACACTTATTTCTTTAAGTACAAACTCTGAATGAAAAATGAGTCTCATTCTTATTTTGCAGAGAAGACTAAAGCCAAGGAAGTTAAATAGCTTGTCCAAAGCCTGTAATAGGAGTCAAAAGAAGAGTCCAGACTTCAGCCTAAATGCTTTTTCTACGATATCCTTTTGTTTCCCCAAGAAGCTATAGCTTGGAAACTGGAATACCTGAGCAAGCAGTGGTCATGATGGCTGGGACACCATAGTAGGTAAAGGCTCCATTCTCGAAGCGAAGGCCTTCTTTACCAACCTCCACTTCCACTTTACCCTGGAGAAAGAAGTAGTGTACTGAGGGTGTGCTTGAGCACTTTCAATTTCTTATTCACTTCTGCTTGGATGACACATGGACCTATGTTTGCATCACAGGGCAATGTTAATTCTGTCCAGATCTACATTTCAGAATAGCACCTCCAAATTTGGTAGGTCTCTGCAGTAAATTCATTGCTTCATTGTTTACAACACAGCACCTATTCACAAATAACCATGCTCTCCTTGCATTCAGTAATGACCCCTCCATCACATAGGTCCAAGCACCAGTTAAACTGTCCCACTGGCTCAGTCTGAGATTAGATCATATCTAAGTCAGGCTTAAATAAAGCCTAATCTGTTGTGAATCTTGGATGATAATGACAGTTAATATGTAGTCGAGTGTCTAAGGAACTGATATTATGTAACATACACTGCTTAGAATCTCAATTAGCATCATAACCTCATGGGATCCATATCATTTTTATCCCTAGTTTATCGATGAATCAATTTTGAGGTTCAGAGAGGTTAACTCAGTCAAGGTTAGTTAGGAAATAGCAACATTGGAAATTTAAAGGCAGAACTTTCTAATTTTTGAACCTATCCTTTTACCTACATGTTTTTTGTCACACTTTAATTTGAAAACTTGAATTTTTATTAAGCATGAGACAAAGCATCACACATGCTCTTTACATATATAAATGATCTATCAAGACCCACCTCAATTTCCAGTAGTTAAGAAATGTAACTCTAGATTTGGAAAAGATTGATCATTTTACTGATGCCATTTGCAAGAACACATACAAGGCAATGACAGTATCGTAGCAGAGAGGCTGAGGTGGGCTACAAAAAAGGGAAGTCATTTCTAAGTCAACGTGAACCTTAAGATCTTAAAATTACCACTCTGTTCAGGGATTATAAGATTCTGCTAAGAAGACGGAATCAGTGACAAGAGAAAATTGTGGACCCAGGTCAGCATTGGTGTTCCAGGGGAACTGTACCTGACACTCATTTAAGACTGGCCTGTCCAGGCGCCCAGGGTAGATGACTATCTGAATGCCTGGAAGATGGTGCACTTTATTTACTCCATCCTTTTTCTCCCCTCGTGACTCTCTGAAGAGGGAGAAGATTCCAGGAACTACGAAGGCTGAAATGTGCCACAGAAGACGAATGTGTTCTATGTGCTTCCAGAGAGCAAAGAAAGCACCAGCTGGCGTCAGAAATAGTAAGATTTCAACCCAACATAGGAAAGATTTTCAGTAAGAACTAAGATTTAGGAGACAGAGGACAGTTTCACATGGGACTCAAGCAGAGACAAAGAGGTACTAGGCTCTGCAGGACAGCATTGAAGTCTAGAGATAGAACCCCTCTACCAGGGAGGTATTACACCACACCAAACCACAATGAATAGTCAGACTAAGGGCATCAAAGATCCCATCATTCCTAGGACACCAGTCTTCCATGCCTATGCCCCTCCTGTGGGTCATACAGAAAGGCCCACCTAATTTCCTTTTGTTCCTGAGGCTGCCAGCCAAGTCGTGGCTGTCAGCACTGAAGGAGGCAGAGCCACTCCTCTTTCACTCTATAGATGGCCTTGCCCTGACTTTGCTGCTCACCTGTAGCAGCAGCACAAAGTAGTCCACAGGGCGGTTGCGCTGGTAGAGGTAGTGTTCTGGGGCCTTCTTGTTCGTCTCATCAAACTTCAGCTCCTGGATCACGTTGGGATGTTTCAGAAGCCGGAGAAGAATCTTCTCCGAAAGGTACAGAGACTTGAAGGGCTCCACTTCTAGGGGACAGTTGGAGAGGGGCAGTTAGCACCTCTGGCCCCGCCCACTCTAGTACTAGCAGCTGAGAAAAGTCAGAGTGGGTCTTACTGGGGTTTGCAACTAGTATGCCCCTATCGTGCTCCAGGGTATCAGGCTGGTGAGGCTTCTGGATCTGTTGGGCCTGAGGGATCCTAAATCCATGTGTGCCTCTGGCCTGTCCTCATGCCCTCTGGGGTTGTTTGTCTCTGCAATGATATCTCTGGAGAAACAGGTTATCATTTTGGAAATGTCAGTTTTGTTTCTCACTTTCTCCTTTTATTTAAAGTTGGGCATGGATAAATAGGTCATGCAGACACAAAGTCTTTATTGCCATAATATAATAAAGTAGAGAAAATTTACTGACTTATTTGCATGACATGTATCTGTTAAGTGACATGAAATTTCAAGTTGACAGAGAAAGGTAAGTATTTAAATGATAAGATGCTTCACTAAAAAAATATAGAAAAAAATGATAAGCTGTTGATAATATGAAGTATCACTGTATCATTTTGTATATTAATAGGTATTTCTATCCATTTATACAAGGTATCATTAAAAATATGGTTAAAACCAAAAAATACATTAAAAGACATATTGCCATTAATCCCCTTTGAAATACTGTGTTTTACTTTTTTTTTTCTGTTGGTGTTTTTGAGACAAGGTCTTGTTATGCAGTTCAGGCTGGCTTTGAACTCACTTTGTAGCACAGGCTGGTCTTGAACTTGCAACATCCTCCTGCCTCAGCCTCCCGAGTGCTGGGATTACAGGCTTGTGCCACCACACCTGGCTATTCAGTTTTACTTTGAACACACTTATCTGATCATTCTTGCCACCATCTGAAGCAGTTCTGGAAGTCTTTTTTTCATGTCATTAGTTGCACTTTGACTGTGGGAAGAACCAAAAATTATGGTGCCAGATCTTGTGAATAAGGTGGATGAGAACACTCTATGTTTATGAGAGCCTGCCTTTCTGTTCAGTGGTACTCAGAAGGAGCATGCACTGTATTTTTGATCATACCTCATAAAGATATAAAAGAATACTTCTAGAACTGCTACAGAAAGTGTCAAGAACCATGGGTATTTTGAAGCAAGGTGGAGTAATCTGGGTGGGATTAACAGCAATATGTATTTTACTGTAATATAATTTTAAAAATTTAAATATTTACTGTGTATTTTGACTATTCCTGTCAGCATACTATTATTTTATATTAAACAGATGTACCTGCTTTGCTCTGGGAAATTAGCCAGTAGATAAAAGGAATCTGTACTTAGAACTAGATTAAATGTTAAAAACTAAGAATCTCCAATATAATTTTTCTACTGGTTAGCACCTGAAATCCTCATTATTTAATTAATAAATACATGTTGGACTAATTATATACTGAAATTAGTAGTGGGTGTGATCTTTCTAGGTCAGTACATTAATTAGGAATGAATGAGAAGATCAGAAAGTTCAAAGACAAACTTTACTTTTCTTCCCAAGAAGTTAACCTTTAGATTTTTTTCCCTTTTCTTTCTAAAGATCCCAAAATTAAAAATCCACTTCTGTACTTTAAGAACTTGTTGCTCACTGCAGTATATTAGAGGGTATCGGATCCCTGGGTCTTATTACGTAGCACAATGCCTTTCCCTCCAGGACAAATATTCTGGGGCATCCCAACTTGACCAGGATGGGGTTGACATCAAGCTCCAGCCAGGGAACATAAGTGGTTTCTTTTTTTCTCCTTGAGCAGAAGAGAGGGGTAAGTTATAGTGTATTCATGTCCTTCCCTAGAAGATCACTTGGGCTCATCACACAGTGTGGAATTCTGTCACTCTACGGAAGGCAATCTTCTTCCTAGAACAAATGGTTCTCAGCACTGGTCATATGTTGGAAGGAGGTTGGTTCCTGGACTCATCCTAGATTCTGCTGCAACCACTCTGGGGTGGAGGCTGGGGGCAGGCAGGTCCTACCTGTGGCCATGAAGCGGTGTGTGGCCAGCAGAAGCTGTGGTGAGATCTTCACTTTGATCTCTGAGTCGGAAAGCTTAAATAAGGAGAAGTCATGCCGCTTCCTCTCTCGATGCGGGACCCTTTGCTTTTTCCGATTGTCGGCTGCAGGGTAATGGGACAGATTGCAGCTGTCTCAGAATCACTGTTGGTCTTTGGAGATTTTCTCATTCAAAGAGGACAGCAGATCCCTTGGGACCACACACATTTCTGCAGTGCCACCTTTAGAAGACCCTGCAACATCTCTTTCCCAGGAAGTGGAAGGGTGTTGGTTAGGGTTAAAGTGGCTCTAATAGTCTCAGCACTATTTACTCAGATAGTGAAAAGCAGAAAAAGGAAGAGCTGGCTTGGGGGTTCCAAGTTCACCATTCTAAGCATTCTAGGGCTGGGTCTCTACTAACTAGCCTTGCAGTGTCTCTGTGTGTGAGTTTTTGTTTGCTTTCGTCTATACAAAGCGACTAAAATACTTAACAGCTCTTTTACTTATCTCGTCCAGCTGCTATGCTACAGTACACCACATGTGAAACTGTCTACATGAAGTCATACAAACATGAAGGACTGGCATTCTTGGCGTCAAGGGGGTTTTCAACTACTCCCCTTTCTCAGAACCAGGTGTACCTGGTCTCTGTCTGCTGATTTGAAGTATGACCTGGGACATGCTATCATCTTGTTAGTTACAGTATTTCCAATCCCTCCACTTGAGGAGACTCAGGAGAGATACTGGAAAAAAAGAAAGGAAAAGAAATAAAAATGAGCCTATATTGTATAAAAACAGATTATTTAGGCAGGGGACTTGGGCAGGGTTTGGAACTCTAAGCTCCGATACAGTAAGTCTCTGAGTTACAAACACTGGAATTGCAAATTATCTCAGATACAAACATAAATTGATGAGAACAAGTTGTGGAAGTGCCTCATGTGTCTGGCGGACATTGTCACAGTTGAGCTTCTATGTGCTCACTACGGTATGACAGTGTACAGTAGTACAATCCAGTTGGGGACTGGACTTCATTTTTGTGTTTGCTTTCTTTATGTTTTACAAAGGTGTATAAGATTCACTTCGTTGGACTTACAAATGAATCCAACTTACAAAGGTTCTCCAGGAACAGAATGTGTTCCTAAATTGGGGATTTTCTGTATAGGGGGCATGTGATTACTGACTGAGAAAATTCACTTTTTCTAATTTTTCTTTGGCTTATTTAAGCTTATCTTAAAAATCAAAAATATTTGTGGAGGGATTTCTTTGGTCATTTTTCTCTTGCTTTCCCTAGGTTAAAAAAAGAAAAAAACCCAGAAACTGCTAGCCTACCTCATTAGTGCTAAGGGAAAACAAGAAAAGCATTGGAGTTCTCTTCAAACTTAGTTTCAAAACAACAGGGCTGAAGAATACTTCCAGTGCAAATGGACTGGTGGGGTAAAAAGTAAAGGGGATGAACCCCCTAGGACAAGAAATTAGCAGTCTGGAATCTGGCTTCCTTTTTTGTTCCTTCTCCTATTAGAGCCTGTGTCTTTCTGACCCTTTGGGTTTTCTTCTAGAAGAGAGAAAGTGCCCTTCCACCCCTCAGCTCTTCTGTGGACCTGCATTCATCTCTGAATGTTAACAGTCACTTGGCCGCTGTTCTGACATTTTTCCTCAAGTGCAGATAGAGGGGAGATCAGGGACATGAGTGTAGATCATGTAAGAGTCTGGGGTCATGTCAAAAGAAACACAGTACTCCTGACTCCTCAGCCTCCACAGTTCTTAAAAAGTTATGTTAACTTATTTATTTAAGGGTGGGAAAACTCTGACCTTCTTCTATAGAAAGAGCATCGCTTCAGAAATAAGTAACATGTACAGGTCTGGAACCCATGTCTTCTGCTCTTATTAGGGAGCAGCTTTCCAGGTGTATATGTTTGCCTACATAGCCCTTCCCTCTTCCCCATTGAAATGTCACTTAGCAGTTCCTTATTAAAGAAGCATTTCTCTGATTTCCCTCTTCATTCCTTTGATTTTTAAAATTTATTGTAATGCAAAAGTAGATACTAACAAAGAAAAGATAAAAACTATTCTTAGGTCTAAAAATTTCATAACAAAATAATTAAAGAATAATAATAGTTAATATATTGCATACCATGGTCTTAAAAGAATGGCCAAATTGTTACTCAGAGTACAACCTATAGACAAAAAAAAAAAAAAAAAACTGTCTCTTAAATGAAACAAATCAGTGCATACGTCTCTCTCTCTCTCTCTCTCTCTCTCTATATATATATATATATATATGTATTTGAGTTTTTCATGTAAGAGAAACCTTGTGATATTTAAACTTATATGTCTAACTTATGTCATATAACGTTATGTTCTCAACTTGTATCCAGTTGCTTAATAATCACTCAAGTTTATCTTTATTCACAGCAGAGTAGTTCTCCATGGGTATATATACTACATTTTTTAAATTAATTTGTTGATTGACATCTACCACTGTTTCCAAGATCTAGCTATTACAAATTTTAACAGTGGCTGTTTGAAATGTTAAGGTTGTTCAAACAACAGCTGTGGGAAGAGCAGCTCATTTGGGCTATTATCAGCCACTCACGTTTTAGAGTGAAAGTCTTCACCAATGTGTTTCCTGAGACATCCAGGAATTCTAGAGCAAGAATGGAGGCAGAAGTGGAGAAAGAAACCTAGAATGGGAAGGAGAGCTCAATCCCTGTTTAAAGAGGACAGCTTGCTCAGTGCAGCACAGCAATGCCATGTCTCTAGAAGGAGATGCTGTGACATTCTTGCTGGTTTCTGTCAATGCCTGGCCCACTTTTCATATGTGATCTTTTGGTCTAAAAAGGAAGACACTTTTCCTGTATCACTCATGGCCTTATGGAGTTAAAGCTTTTTTTATTATCAGGAGCCAGGTTTGGAAAAGCTGCTTTTATCTAACTAAGGGCAGAGATTTAAAGTGAGTTATCTGAGAGGTGAGAAAGCGATGTCTGTCCCATGGGATGAAACTCTGCGAAAGAAACAGTTTCTGGCTTGCGATTCCCAAGGTTTTGGATAACATTCCCATCCCAGAGACAAAGCATGCTTTATAATGTTTGCATGCAAAAATTTGAAAAGTAATCCCCTTCCAAATCATAGGAGGAGTTTTTACTGTGAGGGAGGAGGATGAGGAGACCAGAAAGAGGAGGGAGCAGGGATAGGATCCAGGCAGATGCTTGGTCCAGGGAATCAAGGTGTGTGTTGGGGGACTAGAAAGCTAGAAGGTGCTAAAATGCATAAGGAAGAAGAGCAGTGGATTTATGAAGCAGGACATTTAAATTTCTGGTTTAGGTGGAAGAGGGCAATGTTATGACAGTCTCCATTGCTCACTGATGATTTAATGTGAGTAGAACTCCGAGGAGCAAACAATGGTAGGGCCTCTGGCTGCCCTCTAGGTTACATGGTACTTTTATTTAGATCTTCTCATCTCATAGTAGTCTTGACTCAGCTCCCAAAGGTTTCCTCCTTATAAACATTTAGCTAGTGGGTTCCTAGTGACCTAGGCAGGGTGATCCAAGCTAGAGTATCTTGCCGTGGCAGAACCAGGCAAGGGTGGCTGTGCATACAGCAGTGCACAGGGCTTGCCCTGACATCTTTCACACTGTATGCCAAACTAATCTGTCCCCGAGAGTCTCAGAGGAAAACACTACGACCTTGGGGAATAGCCAAGGCCATTCACTTACTGTAGAGGTCAGTCTCATCCAGGATTTCTGATTTGATGATTTCCTCTATGATGTCTTCTAGTGTGACAATGCCCATTACCTCATAGAAAGGGTCTCCTTCTCCCTCATTATTTACCCGCTGGACAATGGCCAGGTGAGATTTTCCTGGAGAACAAATGAAATCATGATAAAGTAACTGATAATTTTCAGCCATTCTTTCCCTTAATACAAAGTTGCTGTTGATCAATATTAGGATGGAATCTATCCCAGGACGTCTTTAAAATACGAAATGTGGGTGTGAGCTCTTATAAAATGCAAGTCATATACTTCAAAAGATATACAATTGTGTGATTTTTATGACAGGGATCCATTCTACAACATGTATTGTTGACAATTCAGTGTTGTGTGAATATCAGAGTTATACAAATTAAGATGGTTTTGACATCACTAGGTAATATAAACTATCACCACTGTTGATGCATGTGATTATATTTTAAATTGACATGTAATAGTTTCATATATTTGTGGGGTACGATGTGATCTTTCAACATATGTATGGTTTATAATGATCAGATCAGGGTAACTAGTATATCTATCACATTAACACTTATCATTTCTTTGTGTCAAAATCTTCTCTACCAGCTGTTCTTAAGTATACAATTACTGGTTGCCAGCCATAGTTAGTTACCCCAGTGTTTATAAAACATTAAAAGTTACTCCTATCTACCTGTATCTCATAGCCATTATCTTAGTTTCTTTTCTCGATGCCGAGACCAAATATCCAACACTCACAAGTTAAAAGAGGAAAGGTTTATTTTAGCTCACAGTTTATTAAAGTTTTGGTCCACAGTTGGCCAGCTCCAAGGCAGGGCAGCATAACAGAGAGGCGTGGCTGAGAAGAAACAGAACATGGCAGGGTAGGCAAAAAGCAGTGATAGCAACCAGCAAGTCTGCCTTTCCTTTTATTTTATCTAGGCTATAAGCCTTTTGGGTGGTGGCACTAACACCCTGAGTGGGGCTTCTATTTTCAGTAAATCCATTCAGCCACACCCAGAGCTATGCTAATTCCAATGAATGGACTAAAATACCATACACCTTTTTTTTTTTTTTTTTTTTTTTTGGTCTTTTTCCTTTTTATTGGTACCAGGGATCGAACTCACGACCGCCTGCTTGCAAGGCAGGTGCTTATGCCGCTGAGCTAAATCCCCAGCCCCAACCATACACCCTTAATCCCAGAATTATAAGCCACAGATCCAGCCAGCACCAAAAGTTCTACCTGTGAGCACATGTGGCTTTGCAGTGACATCTAGATACAAACCATAACATTTATTAATCATCCTCTTGTGACGTTCCCTTATCCCTGACCCCTTCCCAGGCTCTGCAAACTTTACACTTTTACATCTCTGCTTCTTGTTAGGGAAGTCACCTAATATATCCAAAGTCAGTTAAAGTTTTTCTTTGAACTTTGACATACTGGCAAGTACATGCCAGTTGAAGGAAGCTGAATAATTTAGTTGAAAGGCAGAGATTTAGAGTAAAAAGAATTGAAGTCATTCTCTTCTAAATATCTTCCTCCCTAAATATTCTAGTTACCGACCCTGGGCAAATTATTTAACCTCTACTGAGTCATAATCTCTCATTTGGAGTTAGGGAATAATATCAGCAAGGCCTCCAAATTCTTTAAAATGCCTTCCATAGAGAGGTGTAGTCTGTATTTCTTGCGCTTCAACCTGGCTTCCCAGGTTTGTGATTACTGTAATCAATACTGTACAGGAAGTGCCTACTATGGTACTTCTGAGGCTAGGTCTTTAAAGCATGTAGTTCTGTTGCAGAAATACAGGGATTTAGCTCAGCGGCGTAAGTGCCTGCCTTGGAAGTGTGCAGTTGTGAGTTCAATTCCCGGTACCAAAAAAAAAAAAAAAAAAAAAAAAGCCTGATGATTACCATGAGGTCACCATGGCAGAGAAGCCATAGTGTGTAAGTAACAGTCTAGCAGAGGATGATCTTCCAGCCATCCCACCGAAGTGTTATAGACAGGTTAATGGTAGGGGCCACCTTGGAAGTGCATCTGCTAGTTTTATCTAATCTGGCTCCACCTTTTTCCTCCTCAGCCTTAGAAATCTCTAGGAGCAACTCAGACACTGCTATCCATTCCTGCTATCTGTTTTTAGAAGTCCTAACTCACAGTCCTAACTGTGAATATAGTAAAATACTTGTTTTCTGCTTCTAAATTCTGGGAAGGTTTGTTAGCAACAATGTAACTAAAACAATTCCCATAAAATGACAGTGGAGCTCAAATGATCTAACAGATATGTGAAAAAGCTTTGTAAATGGTGATGTCATAAGCAGATACTTCATTTTTATTGCCTAGTCATATTGCCTAACAACTGAATAATAACAGTTCATATTCATCGCATCCTTACAGAGTGCCTTACAGGCACTATTCAGAAGACTTTACACAAGCAGATGTAGTTAATTTTCATAACAACCTCGGAAGTGAGCAGTACTACCATTATTTCTATTTTACAGATGAAAGAAAGAAGGCACAAACTGACTAAGTAACATGCCTAAAGGTACACAGCTTAAAAGAGGCAGAGCTGTATTGCAAACCTAGTAATTTGTTTCAGTCAATCTAGGGACTAAAGTTGTATCTAACAGTCCTGCTTCATGTCAGTCTGTTTTCTTCTACAGTATAGTTACATTTCCTGGACCTATTTCTTTATAGTTAGAATGTTTTGTTGCTGTAGTTATTCGTGTATTTATTTGGGACTGAACCCACGACCTTGCATGTCACACAAGCACTTTACTACCACCCAGTCCCTGATTCTGTTTTTCAAATGCAGATTTGGTTGTTTCTTTTCCTTCGCTATGAAACATTTAAGGAGAAAATCTAGGGTGCTGACTCAAATGCTTTTCTTGAAAAAAGTTCATACTTTATCAGTTCTGATTTGGCTATTATCAAAACTTACTCATCTGAGAAGTGTCTATTCATTTCAGATGCCCATTTTTGGATAGGGTCTTAGAATTTGGGGAGGGGTCTGATTTGTTTTGAATTCTTTACATAATCTATCTAGATAGTCCTCTTTTGTCTGAGGAATGGCTGGCAAAAAATGTTCCCCTCATTTTGGGTTGTCTTTTCACTGTGGGTGGTTTCTCTTGCTGTGCAAAAGCTTTTTAATGAGACAAGAGCTCAGTTGTTGATTCTTTATGGTAGTTCCTTGTGCAATTGGGGTTTTGTTCAGAAAGTTTTTGCCTACACCAATGTATTCAAGAGTTCTGCCTATTGTATTTTCCAGCAGATTTAGTATTATTTCAGTGTTAATATTTAGACTTTTGATTCATTTCAATTTTAGATTAGTGCATAAAGATATGAGTCTAGTTTTAATCTTCAGCATATGGAAAGCCAGTTTTTCTAGCAACATTTATTAAAGAGCCTACATTTTCTCCAGTGAGGGTGTTTGGTTCCTTTGTCAAAGATAAGGCAGCTGATAAGATGATTGTACTACAAACTCTATAAGTTCTTGTAGTAAAATAGTTAACATTCATAGGGTTAGAACAATGGCATATTATTTTTTTTTTGCCTTTTTCTTTTTTATTGGTACCGGGGATTGAACTCACGACCACACACTTGCAAGGCAGATGGTTATGCCACTGAGCTAAATCCCCAGCCCCTAATGGCATATTATTTTATATGAGGAACTCTTGAAGATCATTATATAAAATAACAACCCTAGTTATGCTCATACCACCTTGTTTTGATATTGTCAGTGTTCTGGGCTCTTTGCTATTGTTGTTTGTATGTCTTTTTCATTTTATGTTTTTCTAGGAATTTGTTTTGTTTTGTCTTAGATTGTTTTGTTTTCCCCTCTAATACAGAAAGGATAGGTATACATGTAGAGACTCATACATGCACAGAACTTCTAAAAAGCTTATGAGAATCAATAATGCACAATGAAATGAACAGCTACTTTGAAGAAAAAGAGACACTAACGTACCCAGTGCTGATTCCATAGCATCATGATGTGAAATCTAGCAATACTATTATCCTTTGTTCAGAATGATTTGAGTCTGTTTTGTTTTGTTTAATTTCAACATATGTGAAAGTATGGGCAGCTATTTTGAAGAGAATGAATGACATTATGGTAGTCATTGCTGATCCTATTGTCTGATCTTTAAGACCTAAAATGCCTTCATCATCCTGTTCTAATCAGTTCTATAGTATGAATTCATTGTATGTGAAGATATGGACAACTATTTGGAAGAAAACAAGGGACAATATGATAGACAGTGAAGATCTCCAATTGTCTTGCTTTGAAATCTGTGTCTCTTACATCGTTATTTTATGATGTTTTGTTATATTTAATTTTACCCTCTTTAAAAAAAGAATTGATCTTATTACCTATGATGGTATGAACAGCTATTTTAAGAAAATGAATCATTATGGAAGCCACTGCTGATTTTCTATCATCTTGTGTTGAAGTCCAATAATGCTTTTATTCTTTCTTTTGATTGGTTTCAGTCTGTTTTCTATTATTTGGTTTCAATATGTGTGAAGGGCAAAGAATCATACCCAATAGCAGATTTTCTCCATATTTCAGCCAGCCAATAAGCATCTGGTGAAACTGAAGACTGAATAAAAATCTATAGTTGGTATAACAGATGATATTAAAGCTGGATCCTAAAACCGTTATTTTTTGATAGAATACTATGTATTTAAAATTTAAATCCTGAATCAATGGTTCTAAAATTAACCTTCCTTGAAACAATTGCATCCTGCCACCAACTAAAGTGTTTTGTAGCTTAAATTAGATCATGTTGTTAGAATGTGTACAACTTTTTATTTCCAACATTTCCAACATGCTTTTCTTAAACTTATGGCTCCTGTCCTCACATTTTTTTGCCAGCATGTGCGAGTAGATGACAAAACAAAAAACTAATATAGTGGGGAAACTTGGAAGAATGATTTAAAAGTTCTTTTCTTTATGTAGAGCCTAGAACATACATAATACAACACAGCCATACTTCCCATCATGACACAATTAAATTAACAGTTTTTGATATTTTATAGAATACCATAACTTCCACATGAAAGTGATAACAATGCTTTATACTTTAAAGAACAATTTTAGGATATCCTATGTTATCTCCAGGGAATAGAGATTTTA